GGTCACCCGAGCCAAGGCCGGGATCTTTTGCCCCAAACAAATCCTAAACCTAAACACCGTCGCTTCCATCTCCCCCATACCCCCTACCTACCGTAGTGCTCTCAAAGATCCTAACTGGTACAATGCTATGCTAGATGAATATAATGCTTTGATTGCTAATCATACATGGGATCTAGTACCTCCCTCCCCCGACCAAAATGTGATCTCCGGTAAATGGCTTTTCCGCCACAAACTTGGCCCAACAGGTGAACTGTCTAGGTATAAAGCTCGATGGGTTTTTCGTGGGTTCAACCAACGCCATGGCATCGACTACGACGAGACTTTCAGCCCGGTTGTCAAACCGGCCACTATACGCATTGTCCTGAGCATTGCCGTGTCTAGAGGTTGGCCGATCCACCAGTTCGACGTCAAAAATGCTTTCTTGCAGGGCTACCTCTCAGATACTGTTTACACCGCTCAGCCTTCGGGATTCCAGGACCCTGCTCGCCCACATTATGTCTGCAAATTAAATAAGGCGCTCTATGGACTCAAACAAGCACCCCGATCCTGGTACCAGCGTTTCACGGGATTTGTTCTCTCTCTTGGCTTTAGTGGATGAAGAGCGACACCTCCTTGTTTATCTACAGTCGCGGCCAGGACATGGCACTCCTCCTGCTTTATGTTGTTGACATTGTCCTCACAGCATCATCTACTGCCCTCCTTCACCGAATCACAACACGGCTGAAAGGGGAGTTTGCTATGACAGATATGGGCGACCTTCACTTCTTTCTCGGGATCAATGTCCAGCGGACCTCTTCTGGCCTGTTCCTCACTCAGACTCAGTTCATCTATGATATCCTTGAACGGGCCGGCATGACCTCATGCAGACCGGTCTCTACACCCGTGGACACCCGCGGGAAACTTTCAGCCACAGTCGGTCCTCCAGCACCGGATCCATCTCTATATCGCTCCATTGTGGGAGCACTGCAGTATCTCACCTTCACCCGCCTAGATATTACCTATGCCGTGCAGCAGCTATGTCTATTTCTTCATGATCCTCGTGTGCCACATGTTACAGCTATGAAGCGTGTTCTGCGCTATCTACATGGTACACCTACCCATGGCATCACTATATCACCTTCTCAGACGGATCATATGCAGGCATATTCTGATGCTGATTGGGCAGGCTGCCCAGACACTCGCCGTTCGACATCCGATTACTGCATTTTCCTAGGCGACAATCTTATCTCCTGGTCCTCTAAGCGACAACTCACCACCTCTCGATCCAGTGCTGAGGCTGAATATCGAGTTGTCGCTAATGCTGTCGTTGAAGTCAGTTGGATACGCAATCTTCTTCTCGAACTCCGACAACCTCTGACTCGCTCTACACTAGTCTTCTGTGATAACATCAGTGCTGTCTACCTTTCTGCTAATCCAGTCAAGCATCAGCGCACGAAGCATATTGAGGTTGATATTCACTTTGTGCGTGACAGAGTAGCCCTTGGTCAGATACGAGTCCTTCATGTGCCGTCTTCCCTACAGTATGCAGACATCTTCACCAAGGGCCTACCCTCCATGGTCTTCTCTGAGTTCCGAGACTGTCTGGGCGTGCGGCATTCTTCATTGGCGCCGTTGGGAGCATGTTAAATATATTCTTACTATATTTAATATTATTGTATATTGGTAGCTACCATATTTGTATAGGGTGTATTAATTATTGTTTCCTATTGTCACTAGGAAACTCTTGTATATATACACATGTAATCTCTCATAATTATTCAATAGAAAATATTTATTCTTCAACAGTAAACGGGGGTGTTCACTCTCAATGCTAGGCCGATTTTTTGTATCATGATTGATTATGTTGGATAAGTTTATCCTCATTGATAAACGTTGTGTAATTGATGAATGCGAAATTAAATGATTGAAGTAATCTACCTAGAATATCTCTAGGATTGGCTTGAATAGAATAGTGGCAAGGTATACCATAAGTATAAAGAAGTTAGAGCCGTGTGGTATATGTTGGGTCCAATGGCTATTCAAGTAGAAATGTACATACGAGGATCTATGAACATGCATTCCGAAGAGATAGAAATTTCACTCACCAACGAAAAACTCCCTAGTTGGTTTGAGCTTAACATTCGTTCTAAAGGGGAAGGTTATGACTCCATAGGAAAGTAAATGGATAGATAAGCCCTAACCTAGAATAGGTTATGAGAAAAGAAAGAATGGAAGTTAAGTGATCAAAGTAATGAAAATACAAATCTATGTTTGGCACCGGTGAATATTGTTCTGGTATGTACTTAAGTGATGTCGTTTGTGTTATACTATGGCCCCGTTCCGTTCAACTTATTTTTTCTTATTCTTATTAAAATCAGATCAGATCGAATCAGATTAGATCAGATCCAATCAGATTAGACCAGATCAGATCAGATTCCATCAAGAATTATTATTATTATTACTACTACTATTATTATTATTATTAAAAATAAAAAAGAATAAACTTTAGAAAAAAGTTAAATAGAAAACTGAAAAAGTAATCCTTAATTATTAGACGTCGGAAAAATTGTTTTTAAAATACATTGACAATGTCAATCTAATTATACTTTTAAAATATATTTTTATTGCTAGCTGTAATTTGAGTTTCTAAAGGTTTGATCTTTTATACGGATGAGGTATTTTAATAAAAATATTATCTCTTCTATATATTGATTATCTAAACTTAATTAATTTTTAATGTATATATAAATTAAATATTTATTCTAATGTATATATGAAGTAATTATTAAAATATTAAATTAATATTCTAATTTCACAAAAAAATAATCATAAAACAAAAAACATTATTACATTATAATATGAATGATTATTCTATTATATGAATTACCTAATTTTATTTTATTAAAAATAAGCATAAAATAAAAAATATTGATTATATTATAATATGAATTATCATTTCAATTTTCAAATGTTATTATAATGTCAAATCAAATTTTTTATTTGAATTTTAAATCAAATTATAATTAATCAGATCAGACCAGATCAGATCAGATTAGAACCAATCAGATCAGATCCAATCAGATCAGATCAGAGCAGATCAGATCAAATTTAATCAGATCAAATCTGATCTGATAAGAACTAAAAAAATCAGATCAGATCAGAAAAAATAAGTTGAATGGAACGAAGCCTATGTGTATGATATCATATGGTAATGTGAATTAGTGAGTTCTTTATATGCATGGCCAAACAATAGATATTTTCACTTAACGTCATTGCTGAACATGTAGTGTATTTGTTTTGCTACACACAGATTATCAGGGTCAAGATGAATTTGGATCCAATCCCAGAGAGTAATGAACATGAGGAGATGTGTGTGGGCATAATTGATGACTTTGAGTTTCTATTTATTTGAAAATCATTGATTATTTTTACTAGCTTGTTTCCCAAGATATAGTTTGATTGTTAATTTAAGCTTCTACATTGTTTTAAATTACTCCAATGGATGTTTCATTTAAATTTTGAATTGATGTTTTAATTGTTTGAGAATATTATTGTGTGTTTGGATACCAAATTGATAACAACCCGGTTTGGTGATATATGTATTCGAGTTATGCGAATTTAGGTGTTGCAGAAAGTCACATTTCTCATTCCTGGCCTCAATACAATTACCATGCTTTTTCTTATATAGAAGAGAATAGAATGGAAATTACCACAATTAGTGGACATAATATGGACAGAATAAATATCTCATAAATACAAAATATACTCTATACTAATAATGAAGAGGTGTGGCAGAATGTCGCAAATTAAAAGGGTGTTTGGCTTTGTATTAGAGAACAATTTTTAAACTTCTACATAGTCAAAAAGGAATATTATGTGTTTGGTAAATTTACTTCTGCTTATGGCGTATACTTTCAGAATGCAAAATGGGGTCCAAAAGTATTTTTTGACAATGTTGAGATTAAATGATTTTAGCTTTTAAATTATGATTTCTGTTCTTAAAGAATTCCACTGCAGTATCTAAACATCAATAAAGAAATGTAGCAAAAGTGACTTATGATCCAAAATTACATTAGCCAAAAGTCTCCACGAAATGACCCCTAGATGGATCAAATTTTTTCTGTTCGGAAAAAAATCCAATTTCCATGGTATAATGCCTCTCCTTTTTCGTAAACACCGATACTAATGCGGCGTGCAATCATGCTAACTGTTGATAAAATATGGACCATTATCAAAGATGTGTTGACTAAAACACAATCAATAAAGAAAAAGCACTGTTCACCCATAAAATCAAATTAAGGTACCCTAAAATATACACCAAAGCCATGTATTAATATTTCGATGATTCACACTGATACAATATGTTAATACGATCAAAAAATGTTAGACTAGCATATTGAACTAAGAAATCACTCGAAATCGAAGTAAAACATAGAGAAAGTACCAAAATACAAATTTTATGTTTTTATTTTTCTAAATAGGAATCCACATTATGGTAATGTGGTGTTATACATGGGCATTTTTGGTAATGTACATGGTCATACTTAGTAATGTAAATGCATTTTAACTCTTATTTCGAAAATAAAAACATGGAACTCCTATTTTGATATATTTTCAATGTTTTACTCTTATCTTAGTCTTTTTCTCTTTTGTTCCTCTTTAAACCATCACATTAGCATCACACTGATACAAAACAAAAGTGAATACCTGCCGTGTACAATTTGAGGTACTAACTTTTGTGATACAAATAGCTTAATTCTTAAATTAATTACCCTCTTAAGGAAAAAGCAAAAAAAAAAAAAAAAGAAAAGGTTGGTGCAACAATGATGAGATTGAAGGTCCCAAGTGGGGACAAGATAAGAACGTGGGCATCGTCTTCCTTTCTCTCAAATGCCTCTCCACTTTGTTATGTTGCCCAACAAAGCATACCTCCATCTGGACCAACCTATACATACATTGTCTCATCATATTCTGTATCTATCTATTTCTCTTTCTCTTTAATCTCTCTCTCTCTCTCTCTCAAGAAATTAAAACTCAATTTTTCATATATTGATCACATCCATAATCTTTCTCCTTCTTGGGTTCTAATCTATGCCCTGTTTGGATTGATGGGATTGGTGCGTCCTTTGTAGAATTCAATTGTTCTCTGCATGTGCAAATCAAAATGGGGCAGAGCTGAAAATTTTGACAGATAATGACACACCCATTTAGGCCAGGGTGCCCTTCATTTTCTGGGTTCATCCCATTTAATCTTTACTCATCATCATCAGTCTTATAAATATCCATTCTTGGAGAATTATATACCCAAATTCATCCCCTTTTTTTCTTCCTGGGTTTTCACTCTGCTTCTTTGATTTAGTGACGAGGTTGCTGTAAAAAAAAAAGAGGCAGTTTCTGGTAATTTATCCCAATTCTTGGCCATTTTGGTGCTCATCCGACAAGATATATCTCTCATTTGCTGTTGCACAAGGTTGTGCTTTCTGCAAATTAAAGTACCCAAACAAAAACAAAAAAAATACCCACCATTTATCTCTTCTCACTATCTTCTCTCCAAGAATGAAGTTTATGAAGCTTGGATCTCGCCCTGATACCTTCTACACCACTGAAGCTCTGAGGTAATTTTTACTACTGTAAAAACAAAGAAAGAAAGAAAGAAAGAATTTTTACTCCATGGATTGGCTTGTTAATTCAATGAAAGATCTTCCTTTTGATTATATGCAGATCAGTTTCCTCTGAAGTTTCAAGTGATCTCATTGTCCAAGTCAAAGGATGCAGATACTTGCTTCACAAAGTACAATTCTTTAATTCCCCTTTTTTCTTACCTTTTCATGGACGAGTTTTGAGATTTCTGCTGTGCCAAAACAGTTTCCCCTGCTTTCCAAGAGTTTGAGGTTGCAGAGGCTATGCTCAGAAATGTCAGAGAAGAATCCGGAGACGTCATCTCAGCACCAAACCGTGCAGCTCCGGGATTTCCCCTGCGAGCCAGAAGCTTTCGAGCTCTGCGCCAAGTTCTGCTACGGCATCACCGTCACCGTCAGCGCCTACAACATAGTCTCCGCCAGGTGCGCGGCGGAGTACCTGGAGATGACGGAGGAGGTGGAGAGGGGGAACTTGATTCACAAGCTGGAGGCCTTCTTGAGCTCTTGCGTTCTCCAAGGGTGGAAGGACGCGATCATCACGCTCCAGACCACGAGGGCGTGTCCCTCGTGGTCCGAGGAGCTCGGGATCACGGGGCGGTGCGTCGACGCCATTGCCCTCAGGGTTATGGCGGGCCCCGCGAAGGCGAGCCTCTCGAGAAGCTACTCGAGGCGGGAGGCGGTGGTTTCGTGGTCGGAGAGCAGGCGGGGGTGGTGGGCGGAGGATTTGGCAGAGTTGGGCGTCGACCTATATTGGAGGACGATGATAGCGGTTAAATCCGGCGGGAGGGTCCCGGCGAGCGTCGTGGGGGAGGCGTTGAGGGTTTACGCGTGCCGTTGGTTACCCAAGGTGTCGAATTCCTCCACGACGGAGGATTCGGAGGTTTCCAAACACGTCCATGTCTTGGAGTCCATTGTGAGTCTATTGCCAGCGGAGAAAGGTGCTGTCTCCAGTACCTTTCTCCTGAGGCTGCTTAAAGCAGCCAGCATTCTGAGAGTCTCGAGTGCCACGAAAAAGGAGGTGGCGAAACGGGTGGGGCTCCAATTAGAAGACGCGACGGTGAAAGATCTGTTGATCCCATCGGAGCCGTCCAAAAGTGAGACAACAACTTGTGATGTCGACTTGGTTCTGACGATGTTGGAACAGTTCATGTCACAGGGGAATCCCAGTCCCCCGACAAGTCCTCCTCGACACAGGAGGACCAAGAAAGGGGAATTCGAGCGAAGAAGATCTCGATCGGCCGAGAACGTGGACTTTGAGTTCCAAGAAAGTCGGAGATCTTCTTCTGCCTCGCATTCCTCTAAGCTCAAGGTGGCCAAGCTTGTGGATGGGTATCTTCAAGAGATCGCCGGAGACCCCAAATTGCCCCTCTCGAAATTCATAGACCTCGCTAAATCAATCCCCGATTTTGCCCGGATCGACCATGACGATCTCTCCAAGGCCATTGATATCTATCTTAAGGTATGAATTGATAATCTTTCCTGGTTCAATGTTCACGAACTTCGGTTCTTGGTTAAGTTGGTTTCTTGAAAAGTTGGGTTATTTTTAAAATATAATAAATCTTTCGTAGTTTAAGTCAATTCTTGACATACTATCACTCTATCACAGCGAGTCCATTTTTTATTTTAAATTAAAGTTTCACGTGCAAGACCTTCCTTGATTTTCCAGGCGCATCCAGAACTGAACAAGACAGAAAGAAAGCGATTGTGCAAGACGATGGATTGCAGCAGATTATCAATGGAGGCGTGCATGCACGCAGCGCAGAACGAGCTTCTCCCGCTCCGGGTAGTCGTCCAAGTCCTCTTCTTCGAGCAGGCCCGAGCCGCCATCTCCGGGGGCGGAGGTGTGGCCCCCGTCGCGGAGCTTCCGGCCAACATCAAGGCCTTGCTAGCCGCCAACGACCACAGCGACCTCAAGAAGAGCTCCGCCGCTTCGTCCTTCGCGAACCACCACAAAATGACGCCCAACCCGAAGCTTGCGACGCTGAAGATGAAGCTCGCGGAGGACTACGAGTTGGACGACGAAGACGACGGGGTTGGGGACGATTTTTCGAGCCAGAAAATGCTCTGCGTTCCTCCGAGTCGGCCCAGGAAGATGTTTAGCAAGTTGTGGCCTAGCTGGAACTCTTCCGGACATAAGAATTGAATAGAAATTTTGCTTGTCTTAGACTCTCACGGTCTGAAAATATAACATGTAAACATACTCTTTGATATGGTGAATTACTATTAGTTTTTTCCCCTGCAATTTCGGTATGTAGCTGTTTCCATTTTTAATGCTCTGTAATAGTTAGAAAAGGGTGAATCACAATGTCTATAGTTGTTGTAACTGAAGCTAATAAAGAAAAAGTACGCTCAAATTGATTTTGCAATTACTTCTCCCCAACCTTAAACAACATTTAATTTTTTGAATGACTTAATAAAGAAATTAAATCTTAATTAAATACGCATTTTTCTGTACTTACAAACTGGTCAAAACTGCTTATAAGTTAGTCAATGACATGTTTTCTCTATGCTTATAAGCATGAAAATTAAGAAGATCTTGCCTACTTATTTTTAAGAAATTTACCTAAATAGGACTAAAACATAATGATTTTTTCAATATAGGATCATATGTTTTTATTTCCCAATGTAGGACCTTTGGTCATTATCAATTAGTCATTATTCAAGTAAACGTCCATCATTACTGAACATTATTCCTCTCACTAGACATTATTAAGTCCTATTTAGGAAATAAAAAAGTTTAAATCCTACTCCCTCCGTCCCAATTTAAATCGCCTGTTTTGACTTTTGGACATATTTAAGGAAAATAAAAAATAGAGTTGATTTTCCGAAATTGACATTACTTTTTAGGAGGGTGATGATGAATGAGAAGATAAAGTGAAGAAATGTAACTTATTTTAGGGGTAGTTTAGGTATTTTATTTTTAAAAGTTTACGAAAACAACTAACAGGCAACTTATTTTGGGACAGAGAAAAAAGGCAAACATGCAATTTAAAATGGGACGGAGGGAGTACATTGGAAAATGACCTATGTTTTAGTTCTATTTAGTGCAAATTTCACTATTTTTAATCCACTTTTTTTCGAAATTCCATTTTAACTAGATTATTTACGTAGCTTTTTTTCATTATTTATGAATATTCCGTGATGACTTATATCATTTAGGTTATTTTATTTTCAAGAAAGAAAGTTTAACTTATCAACAGCTAATAAGTTAAAAACTAATTATCGAGAAGTTAAATCTATAAAGAAGAAGTGACATAATTTGACTACAATATTACTTTATCAAGAGCTCCCTTCTCTTGCCAACAAAAATAATGTCATATTATGACAACAATGACTACGGTGTTTTACTCGAAGAGTTGATGGTTCCTATCTTCAGCACTCCTTATCTCCTACCCCAGCGCCCCTTGTCCCCCTTTTAAAAACACCAATTTGCTAGATTAATTTTGTAGCAAGTCGATGTTTTGGAGACGGGACAGGGGGTGCTGGGGTGGAGGTTAGGAGATAGGAACTACTTTATCAAAAACTAGATGAGAGTATATAAATAAATACTTTATCCGTCTTTTTAAAATATTCTCGCTTTAACTTTTTGTGGTCTTAAAGAAGGTTGAAAGAAGGTAAAAACTTACTAAAACATCTTTACTGAAAATTGGTGGAGTATTAAGTGTGTGTTCATCTGTGCTTATAAATTGGTCAAAATTGCTTATAAGTAGTTTTAATTTATAAGTCAGCGGATGACATATTCCTGTGTGCTTATAAAATGACTTATAAGCAACTTATAAGTCTGAAAAAATAAGTAGGTCTTAGCAACTTATTTTTAAGCTAATTTTTTTGTTTATTCATTTTGATCAGACTATTTACAAAGTTTTCCTTCACCATTTAGAAATATTTACCAATGATTTATCTATCATTTAAGTCATTTCACTTGCACAAAAAAAATATTTGACTTATAAGCAGCTTATAGATTAAAAATTGTTTATCAGCAATAAGCTAATAAACAACAGCACACAGAAACATCTAAATGAGCTGAGTGAGTTTTAATAAATAAAATAAATAAGTGTAATTATAGTACTTTAAATATTAAGAAAGATAATGAAAAATCTATGGGCTACAATTCCTACAAATAAAAAATCATTACTACATGTTAGGGTGTATCTCTAAAGAATGAAACCTGAGGGAGGCTATGTTGGAAGGGGGAAGATTTAACTTTGACTAGGAAACTTCAAATGGAAAAACGTTTTTAGAAGAGAGAATTTGTCAAATTTATGCACACCCATCAAAGCTATTTTAAACCGTACCATGCCGGCAAGGCGAGGAGGTCTGTGGCGCGTACTTCAAGGCGGCGTACGTGGGTAGAAGATGCTCCACCGGAGATGTGTGGCCGAATTTGGACGAGATCTCGGTCCAAATGGGGTACATGTTTTCTTTGGACTTTTACCGGGCTTGGTTGATGATGATGTGACCGTCCGATTTTACGGGCTGTTTGGCCTTCCATGGCACTTATATTTACAAGAGGTTTGCTACATTTATATCTCATTTTATATTTCAAAAAGATTTATCCTCACACACAAAATATTAGTGCAGCATAGGCATATAACATTTGTGGACTAACATTTTATGTTTGGACAAATCCTTGACTACAAAATGGTGTACAAATAAAATTTTCCATTTTCAAACCATGCTAGGGGTACCCAAGGAGCTAGTGTACCTTAATTTGTACATATATATATACTACTCTCTCTGATCCTAAAAACACTTCTTGTTTTGATATTTTTTGTCAAATAGTGACATTCTTTGGTCATAAATTAAACATAATCTAAATGCATAATATTTTAAAATTTTGATATATCAAAACTATAGAAAAAAGATCTTCATTTTATAAAAATAACTAAGGTATCTACCATAATTATATGATATAATATTAAATATATTAAATAATTAATATATTTAACATACTCGTATTTTATCCTACTCAAATACTGTAGTTCAAAATATTAAACAAGTCCTTGAAATTGAATATACAAATTAACCGTGTTAATACGTAGACATTTCTATATTTTATAGGTTTGATATTATATTTGAAACATTCATGAACTTAATAGAATTCCACATAAGCAAGATATGGTGAAGGTATTTGTAGGATATACCTTATTTTTACTTTAAAATAGAAACACTGTTTTCATTAAATTTAAAAATGAAAAAGTAATTTTGTATTGGTGTAATGCTAAGGTGATAGTTCACACAGTCCGGTTCACAGAGTCTATCTCGTGGGCAGAAGAAGGTTGTCTATGCAAGAAAAAAACCCAGAGCCACAGGTCAGACTCAGGATGAACGAGCGAGGAAAGGTTCAAAGAGGCCAGTCAGAAGTATTTGTGGCAGTGGGAGCTCAGGTGGTGCTTCAGCCAAGGTTCCTAGAAGAAAGTGGGTCAGAATCGGAGAACTAGTATTCCAGTTGTTGGAACATCTCCAGAAAATTTATTCTGAGGATGTTTTAGGATCCAGCAGTGTGCATTAGCAGTGGGAGCCGGTAGGTACTAAGGACGAGTCAAGGACAGATTTAGCTGTGACTAAAGTGTTGGAGCTCAGGAGAGCTGCAACGGGCCTTTCACTTGTCTAATGAGAGGCCTGCTGCAGCAAGAGAGCTGAGGAAGATTACTCAATGCACAAGCAATCGTGACGGATGACAGTTGATGATTATCAAGCCTCCAAGTGGGAGAATGTTGGATTTGTGGAGGCTAGATATTGTTTGGGCTTCACTTGGATTAGCCCGGTTTTATTTTTAGTCTATTTATTTATTGTTTCTTGGAGAACAAGTTTCGTAGCCCTAGGTTTCTCGTATATACGCATCTTGTACTTGTAATTTCGGAGACACAACAAGTGAATAAAACCGTTCCTTTGCAGCCGTGGATTAGGGAAATCGAACAACGTTAAAATTCTAGTGTATCATTTATGTTCCGTTCTCTCTTGATTCTCGCATATTAATTATTTGTGTGTATTGTGTGTTTAAATTCCGCAACAAGCCAAAATCATTAGTAAAGCTCATTGATCATTTTTGCAATTTAAAAGCTAAGTGAGGTATCTATTTGGGAATGGTCTTAGCCGAAAAGAGTTTTGTGTTTCATGATGCTATGTTATAATGGGCATTTGCCTTACGAAGGTTGAAAAGCCACTGGCAGTTTGGTGATCGAAACGTGGGTTTCTATACGAGCCAAGAAATCTTTTGTACTCATGTATTTGGGCTAATGTTCATTTTGTTTTATATGGGCTTTGGATCTAACTTATAATTATACGAAGTATTAACTTCTTATTGGGTTGCAACTCTTTCCTATCATTAAAGGAAGATAAGAAAATTTCAAATAATTTTTTTTATAGTCTGATTTTCACTTTTAAATAAATTTCATATTTTTATATTATGCGTATCATTTAGATATTGATGTAAATTTGAAGACAAAAATTCTATTTTTAAAAACTATAAAAAAAATTCTACTTTGTATAAATTAAAACAAAAACTGACCAGACTTTTCTAATTTCTAGTATATTGATTTTATAGTTCAATTTGATTAGGCTCTGTTCTTTTGTGTTGGAATTTCAAAGTTTGACAATCTATGGTCATATTTCTTAGATGACTTATGATTTAAAATAAAAATATATTAATTTTTATTATTTATTATGATATTTTCAATTATACGGAGTACTAAAAAATACATTTTATCAAAAAATGCACCGTGGCTTATTATATTTACATTAACATTATTTGTGATTTCACTTTTATTGATAAAGATCTTCATTTTATAAAAATTACTAAGGTATCTACCATAATTATATGATATAATATTAAATATATTAAATAATTAATATATTTAACATACTCGTATTTTATCCCACTCAAATAGTTCAAAATATTAAACAAGTCCTTGAAATTGAATATACAAATTAATCGTGTTAATACGTAGACATTTTGTCAAGGAACCAATTCAACCAAAAGCTCAAGCTTGTGGTTGTAGTCCATTAAATATTTCTTATATTCTAACACGCCCCTCATGTGTAAGCGTAGTCTTTTTCTTGAGCATCGCACATGAAACCTTATTTTTTTAGAACTGGGTGACGCTGAGTTTCAAACCCATGACCTCTTAGTCAACAAGGCTCTTATACCATGTCAAGAAATCGTGGCGGATGGCAGTTGATCAAGAGAGCTGAGGAAAGAACACACCGAATTTACCCTGGTTCACCACAACGTATGGCTAGTCCAGCCTCCCAATAGACTCTCTCGAGCTACACTACTTCCGTTAAACTTATGGGTGCTTAACAAACCATTACAACCTGAGAACTCGAGTCCCATGAGCCTCAACAACACTTGCTTGGAGATACCGCACTCCAAGACTTCAACATGAAGGAAAATACCTTTTCTTTCGTACAACCAAGGGAACAAAGCTCCCTTAAAGTTTTCACAACACTTAACCATTCAAGAACAAAAATTCTCTTAAAGAGTAGAATATGAGTAAACTAATTTAGATCAAGAACACACTCAATTCCTCAAGAAATGGCTCTAAAAAGCTACATAAAAAGTTTATGCAATGATGCAATGTAAAGCTATGAAATGTGTGAGGAATGGTTGTGAAAAGTAGACCCAAAAGACCCCTATTTATATCCAAAAATGATGTGTAACGGATGGGAGTTGATTGGGGTTTAATGGCATGATTTGTGGAAATCAAATCAAAGTTGGTCTACAGAATTTTAGTCTAACATCGTTGTTCATATAGTGAACATCGCTATTTTGGCTTTGACTTTCCTTTAAAAATGGCTAACGGTCATCAAAACATCGATGTTGGGGTGTTTGACTTTCAAAAATGGAAAGATTTTGTCTTAAATAACCCAACGATCATTTGAAAACATCGTTGTTCAACAATGAACATCGCTGTTCAAAAACTTACTGTCCAGGACTTCTGAATGCCAACATCGTTGTTGGGAAATCCTACATGCATATTGGGCTGGTTCGCCAGAACCATTGGTTTGGCTGCCAACACCAAAAACCGATGTCAAAAACCAAAGTTCTTCAAAATGAAAACCAAGTGTTGGAAACTCTTATATAATGTATTTTATGTAGAAAATAAGTATAAAAACTTAAAAACCACTTCATTAAGGTAAAAATCACTGCTAGCCAAGTTTATACCGTTTCACATGGTTTTCACCAAAAGACTAAAAACGAAAGGTGGTTTTTAACATATTTTTGTTGGAGAACTATTTGAATATGCCCAGAAGTAAAAACCAATCATAAAATCTTAAAAACCAATTGATTGATTTGGGCGCCAAAAACCAACGCCGATAACCAGCGCCGAATGCCGATAACCAACACCGAAAAATAGAGGTTATGGTTTTTGAAAACTAATCATTTGGAAAACATTTAAATGTGTCCAGAAGCATAAACCAAAGATAAAAACCGAAAAGCCATTTGGTTAAAATCAAAGCCAATAACCAATGCCGAAAACCGAATGGCATAGCCGAACACCGATAATCGATGGTTATGGTTTTGGTTAAGCAAGAACCATGGGTTTTAGAAACTTAAAAACCATTTATGAAAACACTTATTTATGAAAACACTCATGAAAAAATCATGTGTTTGGCTCGATGCATTTTTTTTTGGAAGATGACACCCCCAATTTCAAGAACAAATCTTCTAATCTTCAAATTTATGCTTTTCCGGACTTTTTTTCTTGCATAATTGAATCTAATTATCTAAATTGAATATTTCTTTTTTTATTTGTAAATTATGAAAATTTTAATTTTATTGTTATAAATTTGTTATTGTGAATAGCATAATAGAGAATTGAATTCCTTTATTTTTTTAAGATTGTGGTTTGTGAATATGTTAATATAATTAGGTTATGTTTTAAGTTTATAATGTTTTTTATTATTTAAATTTCAATATAGGATGCAAAGGAATGAGTATATATTATTTTTTAGAAGATGACACCCCCAATTTCTCAAACAAATCTTCATCTTCCATTTCTACTTTGCCAGATTTTTTTGAACAAATCTTCATCTTCCATTTCTACTTTGCCAGAATTTTTTTCTTACATAATTGAATCTAATTATCTAAATTGAATATTTTTTTTATTTGTAAATTGTGAAAATTTTAATTTATTGTTATAAATTTGTTATTGTGAATAACAGAATAGAAAATTGAATTCGTTTATTTTTTTAAGATTGTAATTTGTGAATATGTTAATATAATTAAGTTATGTTTTAAGTTTATAATATTTTTAATTATTTAAATTTCCATATAGGATGCAAAAGTATTTTTAAAAAAATACAAAGATTTAAAAAGAAAGAATTGAGTGAGAATCCAAAGATGTATTTCATATTTGCAATGTAGAACTATTTTTAGTTAGTATTTTCAATAACATATACTCCCTCCGTCCCAAAAAGAATTACACCTTTCAAAAAAATTACGTCTCACAATCTCTTATCCATTTCTATTAAAAAACCACTTTTATCCCTTACTTTTTCAAACCCTACCTATCACATCATACCTTTTTCCTTATAATCTACACATCATATCCTACTTTACATATCAAATTAAGGTTATTTTTGGAAAGTCAACACAAAATTATCCCTCCTTTAATTTTCACTTTTGTCAAAATGTGTAAAACTTTTTGGGACGAAGGAAGCATAAACTTTAATGTTATGTATTATAGAATACTGTTTATTTATTGTTAGAAACGTAACGATTGGATATAAATTTTTACATTTTGACCCTACGGTTCAAATGTTCTGGGTCCACTCCTGGATATTACGGAGTATATTCGAAACATTCAAAAAGTTAATAGAATTCCACACAAGCAAGATATGGTGAAGGTATTTGTAGGATATACCTTATTTTTACTTTAAAATAGATACACTTTTTTTATTAAATTTAAAAATGAAAAATAATTTTGTGTCGGTGTATTGCTAAAATAATAGGTCACACATATAGAATGTGTTAGTACAAATTTTTGTTAGCATACTAACATTTTATGTTACAATAAACCATCAAAATATTAGTGTAAACTTTTGATACAAAGTTGAGATACACTTTTTTGTGCAAGTATAGAATGATTTATTTATTTAAATGGTATAAACAGCAAAATAGTTGTCAGATTGGATGCTTTACTTAATACTCGTATTTCTGAACATCAGATAAAAGACGAAACTGAACTTAAAGCAGAGACAACATGATGTTGTTTGCCTGCACAAAATATTAACTGCAGTTAATAATGCATTAAAATCTACCTAGTAAAGTTTTTTTATTACTCCATTAATTAGTCCATTTCTCAAAAAAAAAAAAAAAGAAATAAAATGATCACTAGTTCACTACTCACTAGTAGGAGTAATTAATATTTTTAACACTTATTATAAGCAATAATTAAACACATGCTCCGGGTACGGGTAAACCACGTCTCCCCACATTGTTTCCGGCGACAACTGAAAGTTCGCCGCCGGGAAGTCATTATGGAACTGCAACGACGGCGGCGCCGGCTGCAAATCATCATCAAACCCAGTGCTCGAATGCCCAAACTGCCCTTGAAAACCCCCACCAAAGTTGTTCG